TATATATATATATATAGCTTTCTGTGTGATTGTAAAAATAAATAAATATATATATATATTCATAGTCTCGCGTAATAATTGTTTGAGTCCGCTTATGTATTTTAATTAATTACCTATATTTTATAATATTATATATATATATATATATTTATATATGGTTAATATTGAAACTACATTTTTGCTCATTTGACTTCAAGTTCCTATAATATTTTAATCTGGGACATTTAATTCAACTTTACTCGAAAAATCAAAAACTAACATTAAATAGTGCTTTTCTTATGAAAAACCTGAGATATATGTATATATATGTATCATATAGAATAAAGGTCTGATCTAGTGTTAACTTGAGGCTTTTCAGAGAATAAATTCCATTCTGAGTATGTTCGTCATGTGAAATGACGAACGAAACGAGGATGTTTTGTGTTATACATCAATCTGAAATTAGTATAAAACTCGAGCTGCTGCCTTACAAAGCGAATCAGTCGGCAAATTTTGGCAAGATTGTTATCCGATTCTTTTCAGAATGCACTTTTATGTTAAATTAACTTATTCACAATAAACATAATTCACATCAGCGGCCATAGAGGTACTCTGTAATGTGGACAACGAGCATTTTACAAGAATGAATCTCAGTCCATCATATGATGGACGAAGGTTCAGTCCGTTTTTACTCAAAACGAGGGAGGAGGTCTCGTGGCTGCAGTACAACATGGTTCAACCGTCCTTTTTTGATGAAATCGACCTTTGAATCTCTTTTTCATACACTTTCATACAAAGCCAAAGTCCCAGCAATAATGTTATCTCACAAGATTCACCAAAACCCAGTCACTCTTCATATCTACAACAAAGGACTTCAAACTCGTGATTATCACTCACGCCGATCTGTTTAGTTGCTATGGCTACGGAACCCCGATTGTCTAGTTACCACATTCTTCTAGCTCAGTCGCTTCCGGATTTTACATTTTCCTTACTTTCACGCAGATTAATTGACCTGTAAATCTGATGATGATTATGATTATTAGGATGTAAAACTGATCCAAAATTGTTGATTATTTTCACAACAAAAGGATCAGATCATCTGCAATCCATTTTGCGCTCCGTTAGGTGGGCATCATAACTATTCATAAAATGTGATAAAATATCAGTGCAATAATCAGCTAATTGTCTGGCCTAGAATGAAAGTAAAGTAAATAATTTATGAAATTATATCTTTTCGAAAATAGAAAAATCGTACACCATACAATGTTATTCACCTTTTCAAACTATCAACGTTAGATTCGATGTTGGTAACGCCTAACCGAGCGCCAGAGTTGCAGTGAAAATTGCCAGATAGCTGAGCATGTCGATGATGCTCACTGCTCTTGTAAAGTGAAGCACTAATTGAAGGATCGTTGGTACTGTTGAGAACAATATTTCCCAGCTTTCTTGACAATATAGAATTCGGTACATTGTTAACTGCAAGAGAAACTTCAGTTGGTACAGTTCTGGATTTTTCGTCGACTTCCATAAGGTCAGAGGTCAAGCCAGAAGAGGAAATTGTGGTCAAATTGAAAGAATTAAATAATTGACCACCGCAACGTGAAGAACCAGTCAACATGGAAGATTCAGCAGTCGAGGCGATCATTTGCAAGGAGGAAGGATTTTTTAAAATTCCGCTGCCAGACGTCACCATTGACAACGTGGGGGCCATTGTAGCTTGTGGAATGCGACGCTTTATTGAGGAGAATATACCAAATCGGCAAGCGGAAGACTTATCATAATTTGGGCTAAGAAGAAAGAGGCAAAAATAGAAATATATTGAAAAAATAGTAAAAATAAAAACCAAAGAAGGATCAAGATATATTAATAATTCTTAACTAATCAAATTTCATCTAGACTGTATCCAGTTAAAACAAATCATATATTATTTTATCTCATGTTATCTCAATATTTATGTCTCTTCATTTTCCCTTACTTATTCCTCATTTTTATGAGTTTGTCTGTTTGTCTCTATTTCTATATATTCTCTATTTTTTTGCTTTGACTTATCCTACCCGTACCGTCGAAACGATGTGATTTCCTTTATTTTATTT